CGGTTTTCCTTGAAATGTGTTTACAGTGTTGCATATATGTTGAAAAGTGAAAAAACAGCATAACTTCTACAATAATGGCCCGATCATGCTGATTTTCGAACTTGACCTGCGTTTTATGAATATTCATCAGCTCTGTAAATATACAGCCAAAAAGTAAAACTGCCCTCCACTTATCGTGTTTACAAGGAAAGTGCACGGCGCCGGCGCCGTCGCCGTCGCCGGCGACGACAGACGCAGGTGATGGCAATATGTACAGACACATCTGTGTCTGTACATAAAAAGTAATAAAAAGTTATCATTTTTAAATTTGATTGTTCAATAATCACTTTTTAACTAAGAAAATAACCAAACTGTAGTTTGAAATACTGCAAAAGTGATTACATTAATACATAAATATATCTAGATATAATCTTGTCAACAATGCAAATCTTATTTCTCCGGCTTTAGAAACAGTCACAATGAATTTAAAAGCTATGAAGTGGAAAATCGTCACAATTACACTATAAGTGTATAAACATTAATTTTTCCATTCCCTAGGAAGTCGCTCATTATATTATTGTGTGGAAGGAAATGGCATGCTCAATATTTTTTAAACAAGTTTGGTAAGATCTTATAAAAATTGTTACACAATGAATACACATTTTATACTGTTATCATTATATCTACATCAGTGTCTTCAGATCCCAACATGCAATGTTGAATTTTCCTATATTATGGGACATAGACAAAGACTGCTTATTCATTACCAATTCTATTCAGAAAGACAATGCAATATGCCGGTTTTCCTGCTAATAAAGAGGCTAGTGACCACAGAGGAGTAAAAAGATCTGTTTGCAACAATCTATGGAAAGTATTCATTTGCATTTTGTAAATATGTTATGCTGCAATATTGCCAGTTTAATGATTCCAAGAATTTACAATTTACTAAGCCTTTGAAGACTTTATGCCAGAGAGCCTGAAAGTAACATAATGTAAACTACAGGTTTTGAACTTCGTGTTATTATTGGACATGTATAAAGATTTTGGGAGGCAAAACACACCAACCAATTCACTTATTCCCATTTCAACCTCTAGCACAGTATGAATAATTTCAAAACTGCAACAATGCTTGAGGAAGAAAACTTGGACCAGACAAAGTTATAGAAATATTAACAAAACTAAACGAGACAGGTGCACAAGCAATATTAATATCCCTATAGTTAGCACATAACAGACAAGGCAATCTTTACAACCTGGTTTTAAAAAACACATAACAAGGTACATTTGTAAGTTTAAATTTGATGGTTGCACTATGAAGTGACTATAAAAGAACTAAACTATCATTTGTCACTAGTATTTCTATTATTTCAATTCAATAAATATATCCTATCAAGGATTTATACATTTTTGTATCTGATTATCATATTACACACAAATGGTTGGTAAAATGAGAAATTACAATAATTATAGTTACTGCTTGACTTGGAAGTATTGGCCATATAGGTTTTATAGTCCAAGTAATAATACTCTGACACTCCTACTTTTATTTTCAATATTTATTGGTATGCAAAAGTAGATATATCAAATATGTGCCCAAAAGGTGACAATAAACTGCCATTTCCTGCCAGGAGTCCGGATGAAAATGTTAGTACATTCTCTTTCAACTCGATGCTAAGTAGTCAAGTGCTCTGGCCTCAAAGCACTGAAAATTAGCAAAGGTCTATCAAGCAATCTATCATAAAAACATCACTATGAAATTAAAAAGCATAACACATTTTTATTTTGGAATCACAAAACAGAAGCTGTGTGGAAGCCAACCAAAACCTGTACATTGCTTATAACTGATCTTTTCTTACTTAGATTTTCAGAATAGAACCCAGTTCAAAGTTCATTTTATTCAGGGTTTATATTGCAAAGATAGTGTTGTCAAAACTAGTTTTGAGATCCTTATTTTTAGAAGTCATATTCTTCTATGATGGATCTTCATCAAATTCCACTACTGAAAACAATCATTTCACTTTTAAACAGAGTGCAACACATGAAGATGGAAGTGATGAGGAAAATATGAGGTTTTTTATCAAGGAGGATTCGCAGAACTGAAGATTGTATTCACTTAAACTTTATCTATATATATCAGACTGGTGCAACATGAAAACATGCAAAGGTAAAGCAGTGCTAGAGGCTGGTTATTTGGACTGTATGTATAAGCAATCAGTTGCTATTGTTCACATTATGCATCCTGCTAAAAATCCATTATATAAAAGAAGCTCTTAAAACACTTCTTCAAGTTAGTATATGAACAATAAACCTTGATTTAGTCTACACAACACTGCAAATTGAGCTTGCATTTTACTTCATTGTCTGCTACAATTAATTATTAACTAGTAACACTATTTTTATCAAAATTACCATAGTGTCACAAAACAGCACTCAGCTACAGACTAACGAATATGGATTGTAACTATCATGCATGTGCTATTAATGAACATTCAGTCTATAACGACGGGGGAAGTGGAAACGTGCAAAAAAGGGCAAGCCGCCGACTCGGGCCAAATATAGACATTACTACGCCGTGCGCCAAAACGATCTAACACGGCTCCATTTTGATGATTTCGATAATTATCTGTGATCGTGATGAGGTTTTGTCTTCACTTAAAAGTAATATAGCAATGTGCGCCATTCACACCAAACCAACTTTCTCTTCGCCGCGTCGAAGAGCAAGTGAATACACCTGGAAACCCGCTCGCACAATTTCATACATTCCTTCAGAAATACGATTATTTCCTTACATTATTGTCATTATCAAGCGTCCTAAGAAACTTCTCCTTCAGTTCTTGGGCAGTGTTCGGCATTTAGGCCACTGGGAGGCTCAGTTTTTGATGTAATTCTGCCAGCTGAGTGACCCTCCAGCCACCAGAATGGCGGACATTCAGACATTGCAGACACGCGCAGAGACATCTGGGAAATCTGAGCCCGAACCTGATATCACGAAGCCGAGAGTGACGTCAGTAAATCCATCGGCTGTTTCCGGATTGGGTAAACCTCGTTTCCATCTCTGGGGTTCCCTCGGGATTCCAATGCTTCTATTTATAGTTAGCCATACAGGTGCATCGAAGATAAAACTGCAAGTCTGCTTGAAGTCTGACAGAAAGAAGTTTTAGGATTCATTAACCTCACATAACTATGCCGAATAATATCAGAGATGCAACAAATGCTCTTTACAGTCTTTAGGCCTTCTGTAAATTGTCAATTTGGGCAAAATTAATTCATATTCACAAAAACGCAGGATTTAACCTCCGATTTCTCTCATGTTACGTAGTTTTGTTTCTACGGCATTTGCTTATGGGGAATATTGCCCATTTATTTTCTTTAACATTTAATTTCATTTATATTTATGTTTTTAAACATTTTTCTGTGATTCTCTGTAAAAGGGTCGGTAGACATGATTTAATTATTTTACCATTTGATGTTTAGCGCCACACCAGCTAAACTCTAGGGTCTGTGTGTTTTTCGATAAAAAATATTATTTCATATATCATTTTTAGCTTATTATTATCAATTATTCTTTTTATTTATTTATTTATTTTAATTTTTAAAGCTTAGTCAATCATGTCATTAGTACCCTAGGTTCTAGATTCCCGTATTGCCAGCTCGATCTTGATTTCATATATAACCCATATCGCAATACTAGTGAAAGTGACTCCAAGGTATATTAAATGTTAAACAAACTAACTTTCACGTTGCTCTGACACTCAAGGTAGTCATTAGGTGCGTTCTCTCTGTATTTTCCAAAGTATGTATGCTGATGTGCCTAGCAGTGAGGATGGTGGTGAGTGGGAGGACTGATCAGATTACTTTTGATTATTATGAACACAGGTTAATAGGAAGGCCAGCCAGCGGAGAGCATCATACCGGGTGTCGGCCTATATCCAATGTAAGGTGTTACACATGTATACAGCAGCATTCTCCCCGTACATAAGGCATTCCACAAACAATGCTTCTTTTTGAACAACGACGTTGATTAGAAAGGAAACTATATGTGAAAACAAAAGTTGCGACATTCAAGCATGTATTTCACAAACGCTATCTAGAAGGATTTTTAAATTATTAAAATAGGCCTTCTGTTAAATAGAGTCCATTCAAATACTGATATGGAAGTGCTACTATCGCATCCACGAAAAATACATTTTCTAGCTGCGCAGGGATCACAACTGTCACAATCGCTCTTTCCGTACGCGTGAGATGGCACACTGAAAAGAGTACACCGTCTGCGAGCACCTTGTAGATAATTAAATTTTATTTACTATGTGTCTCTGTTGTAAATTTTTTATTCTTACGTCATGATATTCGTGCATACTTAATATGGATTAGTGAACAAGTGATGGTCCTGAAAAACGGAACAAACCCGTTTTTAATTTTCAAAAGTGTCCAGTTTGCACTTTTATTATTTCGATGTTTGTTTCAATTCAAAAAAAATATTCAAAATAAATGTTGTTTCATATTAGTAATAAGATATGATAAAAACGTTAATTGCGAATTAAGTTCAAGGGAAACCGAAAGAAGATAAAAAATACCTCTCTGGCTTCTAAATTCTAAACACGAAAGGCATATGGCGAAAGCTATCAATTAAAGATGAAGGAACGGTTTACGGTTTTCATTTATCGGAAAGATTGCACAAATTAAGAAATAAACTTGATTCAATTTATCATCTTGATGCCTGTATTACATATCATGTAACAAGCAATCTTGCAATAACTGGCAGGGCAAATACGCGAGTAAAGTGGGCCTCTTATGGGGGTATTCATATTAAAAGATGCGATTGGGGAGTCTTATCGAGCTATGTGGTGTTTTTAGGGAGGGACGTTATTGATGTACACAAGCTATCGAACGTAACTTAGAGAATTTTTACCAAGAAGAAAATAAGTTCTTGCTTGTTGCTTACAGCTGGTTGCGTCCACACCCCTTTTTAATGAACTCCTTTGTGGCGCTTATCAATTTCAGGCCTACCCAACTACCAGACTCGGCACCTAAGGATCCTGAATTAACTGGTATATCGGACCACACTACACGTTTTCAAGGTGTGTGTCAGAAAATCTCTTAAACAAAATTACTTTCAGGTGCAAAAATCGTTTATTTCGACTCACCGCTTAAGTAAAACTTTTTAACGTCCGACACTTCCTTAGCATTGTAGGCTACGGTCACTTTGCAAGAGTATGTGGCCAATTTTTTTACCTCGTAGTTACTTTTTCATAAATTGACGGGGGGCCAACTTACCCCGGGGTCCAACTAGCCCCGGTCTCCCCTACTTTGCTCTCTCGTTTGAACGTCCCAGTTATTTACTGTAACGTACCACAACTTTTTTTACGTTAGATTCATTAAGTGTACTTTACAGGGTCTTTTTCAATATTATGGCACCGTTGCGAACAACCAATCCAAATTTTAATTAAAATTGCAATTAATACTTATTTCCAAATGTCCAACAAAATACCTGATAAAGCATACAGTTTGATCTAATAAATCAAAAGAAATGTATTTAAGGTGCACGAACCTGTGATATGGATACATGAATATTTGATCCTGGTCAAAGGTATAAAAAATTGAATGATAACAGAATTATCCAGGGTAAACCGGGTTAAACTAACTCATTCATCTAGTTTACCTTTGAGTAATTTCTCAAGATAGTTGTAAAGATAATAAATCACCTTTGAGTATACGATCAAAATTTATTGTTTTCAGACAGGAGGAAAACAATTTTGAGCAAAAGACAACAGTATAAAAATAAATGTGCTTGTTTGAACATGAAGAATTACGCTTTAATACGAAATGTTTTGAAATCAATTTTTGAATTTAGGTACAAATGAAAAACTTCTTACAGAAAACATTAATTTCTCCGGTAGGGATTTTTTTAAACATGGAGACGATTGCATTCCTTATTTAAGAAGTCTGATATGAGTAGCATTTATCTCTAAAAAGATACACAAGCAGTTAATTAAAAAGTCAGTTACTAGAACACTTCGCTGTTTAAATGAGTTACGGGTTACACACGGTTGCAGCATCTTCAAGGGGCAGTAGTCGCTGGGGCAACAACAGCGGGTTTTGCTGCGAATTTCCTGTAGGGAAAAAGCAAAAAATACAAACCTACATAAAGTATCCATATTTTTAACATCATCTAAGACAATGTTGTGCATTTTCATTTTGTATTTCTTTCAATATAATACCGTCAGTTTAATCATCAGCATGGTAATTTAATATAAATTATTGATAAATATAAATATAAATAATAACAATAAATTGTATTTTATATGGTCATTACAAATAAACATATTAGTTGAAAAAATAGTATCTACATGTATAAAGCATTTTACAAAACTTACAATTTCCAAATGACGACGCCGGCCACCGCCAGGCCCGTTGCAGTTAATCCCCCGGCACCACCGGCCACCGCACCAATCCAAGAGGGCGATTCTGGTGACACCTGTGTCTCCTCTGTTGTCATGGAACCGGTGGCATCCTCTGCATTTGTCTGAGTTCTGGAAGAAGTGGTAGTTTCTCCTGCACGGAGCTTTGGTATTGTTTTTAAACTGCTTTTGTTATTCAAAGTAGACGCTGTAGTTGGATTTTTTGTGTTGCTCATTTCAGCTCCCGTTGATGTCTCTAAAGATAGTGCTATTGTTCTGGTAGTTGGGTTTCTTGTCCTGCTCACTTCAGCTGCTGTCTTTGTCTCTGAAGCCAGCGTTGTTGTCCTATTTGATTGCGTTGTTGTCACTGTCTCCAAAGGTTCCCCCTCTAGTACTATGTCATCGACCGCAATATCGTTCTTCGCTGTAAACGTGCAGCTTGCTTTGAACGCTAACTGTAGATATAAACAAATAGATCATCCCTGTATTGAAATTTGCTTCATGAAAACATTGGCACTGACAGAAAAGAACAAAAGAAATAATTTCTAATTCATAGAGTAGAGAGTGACCCCCCCTCCCCCTCCCCCCACACACAAAAATTAAATCCTACAAAGATCTGTCACATTTCCTGGACTTTATCTTCAGTATGTGCATGATCATTCCCAAAAGTTTCAGTTATCTCTGTCATTTTGAATAAATATATGTTCTTTTAAATAATAATCTTTATTGAGGACTAAAATGTGTACACGTTACATTTTACAGGCTCTCTACACTAGTCATAACAACTTAACAATAATTATACAAATCTAAACAAATACTAACATTTGACTGATTTGGAATGATTACTGGGAAGCAGCACAGAATAAAACGACGATTGCTATTGATGGGTGTGTCGTTTTTTCAAACTTTCAGTTATATATAGATGTAATATTCTCAAGCACGATTCACTTTTTGGACTGAGCAGCCACTTAATTTTTTCATGATCTGTTTTCTGCTCAGGAGGTATCATTAGTCTACTTCTTCTGTCACTATGTTCTTCACATTTCAGAAGAAAGTGGATTTCCGTTTCAATTTCATTACAGTGGGGGCACTTGCGATTTACAGTAGGAGTTTTAGGGGACGTATAGCGGCCGCGTTCAATTTCTAATTCGTGGTCACTAATCCGCATTTTTGCAATAGTCTTCATTTCTGATGGAATGACTTTCATTAGCAAATATTTTTCAGGGGTGTAAGTTTTTTTAAGTAATCTGTATGTCCTAAGTTTACTGTAGTTATCACTTTCCAGGTCTTTCCAAAATAGTTCCTCAATTTTATTGTTGATAGCATCTCTTAGGTTTTCAAAGTTATCTAGTGTTTGTGTATCAGTTTTATGACCCAGACCCCAACATTGTATAAATGTTCTTATTGATTCAGACCAACAGGGCCCTTTTTCTTTTTGCTCCTGTTCATAAATG